TGCCATGTCTTCAGAGTGCTAAAGGAAAATGATTTTATTTTATTTGATGGTTGATTTTAAGTAATCTCTACACCCAACGTGGGGCTCAAACTTAAAAGCCAGAGATCAAAAATCACATGCTCTTCCAACAGCAAGCCAGGTGCCTTAGGGAAAATGATTTTTTAACCTAGATTTTTATACTCAAACTATCAACCAATAGTGAAGATAGAAAAATGACTTTCAGATATGCAAAATTTCGAAAATTTACCATCCCTGTACCTTTCTCACTAGACAGTGTGCTCCACCAAAACAAGAGTAAACTGAGGGAAAATAATGGGAGCCACAAGATTCATGCAAGAGTGGATTCAGCACAGAAAAAAAAGAGAAAGGGACCTTTCAGGGTAGTGAAAAAGGTGATATTAGCATAATAGTTGTGCAGAAGCTTTAGAGAGCAATAAGTTTAGATTGGAACAGGAGGACAGAGAGCTTCAGGATAAACAAATGAAACTGATAAAGGATTTTTGCCATGTATAAAATTGTTCTGTGAAAAGTCAACAGCTTTATCAGACAGTGTGGAAAAACTTCAAAATTCAAGTTAAGGTAAACAAATTTAAAAACGAGACAATCGTTAACCCCAGTAAAAATCAAAAGTTACACACAGAATGAACTGTTACCATAATATACCATATGGATCAGCAATCAATGATATTTAGATAGGTATAATACAAAAAATACCAAATATGAATTTAACTAAAAAGTGTGGCATACCTATATTGAAGGTTTGAAGGAGCATAAGGAAGTATATGAGAGCTAAAAATCCTCAACTGTAATAGAAAGTCAACAAATAATGTCTAAAATTGATTAATCAAGGGGTGCCAGCGTGGCTCAGTCCCTTAAGCATCCAACTCTTGAATTTGGCTCAGGTCATGCGTGAATAATCTCACAGTTGTGAGATGGAGCCCTGTGTCAGGCTCCACGCTGGGAGTGGAGTCTGCTTAAGATTCTCTTTCTCCATGGGGCATCTGGGTGGCACAGCTTGTTAAGCAACCAACTCCTGGTTTCAGCTCGGGCCCTGAACTCAGACTCATGAGATCAAGCCCTGCTTCAGGCTTGGTGCTCAGCACAGAGTCTGCTTAAGATTCTCTTTCCTTCTGCCCCTCCCCGCAGGCTCTTGCTCTCTCTTTCTTTCACTCTTAAATAAATAATCTTTAAAATTACACAAAAGACTCTCCTTCTCCCTCTACCCCTCCTCTCTCTCTCTCTCTCTCTCCATCTCTCAATAATAAATAAATAATAAATTGATTAATCAAGAGATAACCGAGAGAGAGAGAGAGAGAGACCAGTGGTGGTATGGTATTTACAAACCCAGAAGTAAATACCAGAATGAAAAGCAAAAAAGACAAGAAAGTGGTTGCTTCTGATGAAAGGTGGGAGAGAGGCCTAGGAACTGCTTTGTTGTTGACACAAACTTTTTAGCATTTCTTAACTGTTAAAACTATGTGTGCATATCACTTTGACAGTCTTTGGTTTTACTTTTTAAAGAAGAGCATAAATTAAAAGAGATTGCAAATACTGCTCTAGGCTATAGCCTCTCGATGGAAATTTTAACTCCACTGCAAGTTATTGGGCAAGAGGGAAATATGGCCATGTTTTTCATATGTTTGTTTATTCACTTACTATCCCTCTCACAGGAATTGAGATTTCCTCTACACCCCAAAAGATCAGGAACAAGAGATGTGCTAGGAAACATTTGACTCTATATAGAGGAAAATAGCTCTTACTTGTATCATTTACCAATTTCTGTGGTGCAAATACTCCCGATGGCTGGTTTCTAGCTACCAACATGATGCCACTGGACACAGAAATGGGAAAAAGTGCACACCATCAGCTTTTGTAAACAAGTTCCAACACACCACTGACGAAAATCTTGTCTTGTTAACTGTTCTATCTGGTGTTCCACACAATGCATGGCGCATGGCAGGTGCTCAGCAAATAATTATTGATCTGTTGACTTAACAGGGCAAAAACAACAGGAGTCCAGGGACAAACAAACAATGCACTACATCTTTTGATCTAAGAAAATATCATTTGGAATTCTGAAAGCAAAATAATCTTGAAAGCTTAAACTATTGAGCAATTTTCTGCTAGGAATCAGAAAACTTCAAGAGTAGGGAGCTGAAATCAGATTCAAACTTAGATGGTAAGTATAAGATCATTCTGGCCCCACGGAAGAAAAAGTGGAAAGGAAGGAAACTGTGAGCCAGACATTCTGCTAGTTACCTTACACGTGTGACTTTGTTTAATCTTTGCAATAATCCTAGAAGATGCAGATCACTAACCCATTTTACAGATGAGAACACTGAGACTCAAAAAAGTGGAAGTAATTTGCCCAAGGACACACAGCTAGTAAGAGTGGAACCCTGGTACTTAAACCCAAGTGTGTCTAACTCTTTATCTATGCTCTTTCTCCTATACCAGCTGCCTTCAAAAATTTAGCAAAATAATTTAGGCAAAAGAAGGTTTCGTTTATCAGAAATCCGAAGATAACTGTGTCATCCTTCTCTTAGTCTTTGGTTAGGAGGGTATACCCTAGGAACCTGCAAAGAGGGGGAGGAAATGCATCCAAACAAGCTGTTTTATAAGATCTAGATCCTTTGCTTTAACTCTCTCTATTTTCTTGTCTAAAGCAGGGTACATGCTGCCTAGCAACGAAGATAGTGGTGTCTTTTCTTTTCTTGCCTTAATTACCTTATGTTTTCCACAAGGTATTGTGGTGTAATAAGGTGTAATATTTGAATCAAATATTACAAGTAGTAGGTCTGAATTTTTTATATAAAATATCTGTTCATATTTATGCATGTACAATACACACACATACAAACACACACACACAACACACCCCTTTCTCCTTCCCTCATTTCATGATTAAAGTAAAAAGACTTACTCTGTATCGATGTGGTGTCATATCATTGGCTAAAAAATACAAAAATTCACCATCTCTTTGCTTGCTTGTAAATAACACCAAACAACTGGTTTGAGCAACCATTCTTAAGAATCTGAGGGATTCTTGCAATTCATGACCAAACTGACCACTTGTTTTTAAACATCTGTGTGTTTCCTAAAAGAAAGATTTATTATAAACATCTCAGTAGCAATAAAGTTCAAAATCTGCCCTGTTAATATTTCTGCTGGTCACCTTTTTTTATTAGAACAAGAATCAGCAAAATCTTTGTTATCAATACTTAAACTAAACCTAAGTTTTATCTGAATTATTTGTTCAGAGGCAGAAGCAGTCCACGGGATAAAGAAATAAATGGTGGATATAAAAAAGAATATCATTGAGAATGTGAGTGTTAGACACAATCAGCTGCCTCCCTGACAGCCTTCTTCCCTGCTAACAGAATCTCAAATCTGTTCACATTTTTCCAGCAGCTATAGGTTAACCATGATGCTTTTGTTCCTCTTCCTAAATGATTGATTTTGGTATGTATATGAGACATGAATGTGATCAAGAAAGTGTGGAGAAAAGTCTGCCTGAGGAGCTTCTGGGAAAGATTTCCTCACTCTTAAAAAGAGACACAAGAAAAGATCATTGCCCATTTTTATCTGGAGGCAGTTCCACCTATAATATGTAATGTCTGGAACTGTGGCAGCCATCATGGGACCTTAAGACCAACCAAATAACGATGGCAAGTTAGCATGCTATGGCTTGTAAAATGGAAAGATGAGTCAAGTGTGGTTCACTGATAACATCGTTGGGCTGATAAATAATGGACCCTTGAGCTCCCATACCTTCAAATTTTGAAAAGAAAAATCACCTGGGCCATTTTGTGTTGAACAGTCTGTTACAGCCAGAAGCATTGTAAATGATACATATGCTAGCAAATACTAGAACTTTTAATTCTACTCATGTGTTATTCTAAATACTTCTAAAACTGACTGCCTTCCAAATCTAGCCTCCAACCTACAAAAACCACCTCTTTATTTTTTCAAATCTAACAGGTATCTTTGGCCTCCCCACCTTCTTCCCATATTCCTTGTCTTTTTTGGATGTTTCCTCTTTGTTTTTGTCTTTGCTCTCCATTCCTTTCTCTGCTTTGTTCCCCTCCCTGCTCCTTTACCTTCCTCAGGCCCTTTAGTGTCTGTGATTTGAATCTGAAATGTGTTTATACATATATTCATTTATACACATGTAAATATCACATCTTACATATTAGAAGGGAGGAATTCTTCCCCATTCCAAACTATTCCTTTCATACAGAGATAGCTCTTCTAGCAAAAAAACATCTGACCTCTCCTCACCCCCTTACTCATTCCCTCCCACAAAAGAGGAGTGTTTTAACCTGACTGGTTAATTTGGAAGGAGAACTAAGGATATACAGCCCAGCCCTTCCTAACTTCTTTCTCTTGGGAGCCACCTACCTCTAGGAAGCACATACTCCACTATGCTCCTCCAGGCTGTACATTTTACAAAAGGCATGCCCTTGTAGTGCTGGAATATGGTGGTACTGCAATGTTGTTGACTAGGTAGGGAAGTCTGGGTAATCCTCAGATTCGGTACTGGGAAGCTCAAATGCTTACAAACAGAAGCCATATTCTCTAATACCAGTTTCATCAATAATAAATTTAATATGGTCTTATACACCAGCTCTCTTTGATTTTGAATAGATTTAGAACTATTCAAACCAGCTGAACTTGGATCAGACATAAGAATTCTCTAGCTCCATTGAATAGCACTAGTATATTATAAAATTTTTGTTTCCCTCTTCTTAAATAGATTTTACTTATTCTTCACAGCTGCATGCTGTCATTATGGGCAGCTTGACAATTAAAAAAAAAAAAAAGCTTCAACAATGTGTCTTTGTTTTACAAATGTTTCCTGCAAACAAAAGGTGTTTTTAATTTGTGCATGGTTGCCTCTTCTTGACTGGGTTGCCTATGCAATAGAGGCTTTTCACAGGAACAATATTGACCGTCTTTTGTTTGAGGGTCTCCACTTATGATAACTTATAAATCTGCACTTACCTGATCTGACTCCAGCTTCTCAGTAATTTCATGTATAGCTGCTGCCTCAGTATAGGCTTGATAGGTTTTTTCTTGGGACTCCACTGTAATGGTCAACAAAGCATCATAGGCTTCCCGGAGTTTCGGGTTGTTCCTCAGGACCTGGTAGGCGGTATGCTTATAAAATAAACTGTAGAGCAGAGCATCATAGGGAACAAAGACGTAGTTTCCATCAGTCATTTTCACATCATGAGCCCATTCCAAGAGATGCATCTGAGTCTCTCCCCCAATCAAGGCCGAATGCACATACATGATGATTACTGAAACCAATAAAGCAGGAGGATTATGGCAGTAATATGCTAGTAAAATAGAATTCCAAAAACCACAGATCAGGAAAAATAAATAGATGTGTTATAACCAACTGGTAAATGATTTTTATCTTACGCCTCTAAGATGATCAAGATGTTGAAGCGCTGAGCTAAGGCTGAGGTATGCTCAGGACCCTGGATTCGGCAAAGGGAAGACGCAGATATGACTACAGCCTACAGAGCCTACTACTAGACAGGAATAAGAATAAATTTAGCAAATGGGAGGTAGCATAATGAAGAGGTTTTGGGATTGGAAGATTCAGGTTTATATCTTAACATCACTAGTCATTGTTAGCTGTATACCCTTAGCTTACCTCTCTCTGCCTCACTTATAAAATGGAGATCATAAATATGTACTTCATAGGGTGGTAGTGTTGATTGAAGGAGCAATTCGTATAATGGGCTAAACACATAGAACTCAAAAAATAGTACCTAAGAATAAGAAGGCTAAAGGGTGAGGATGGGGGATATTCTCAGAGCCACCACTGCTACTTATGGCCCTGCTCCAGCAAACATACATTCCAATAGATTTTGCACAACTGTTCCCACCCTTACCATGGCCATTATAGACAATGAATGGCACTAGCTCACACTCACCTCTAAATGCTAATAATATTATCAGTGATATGTTCAACTTTTAAAAATCTAACTTCCCTGTAATTGGAAATACTTTGCTCTCTATTTAATTCCTCCTAGACTTATGAAACTATGTTGTTTGGTAAGGCTATGCTAGAATAGAGTGGATTAGAGGAGGCCACGGTTGAAGAATGGCAGCAAGATCATGAGACTGAAAGTCTTCTATCCAATTTCGCCCTTGGCATGCTAAATGAGTTTAGTTTAAGCCCACTTGTGCTTCAATGCCCACATCTTTAAAATGCAGATTCCAAAGCATTTCACAGGTACATTGAGTAGTTTAATTAGATAATGCCTGGCAAGTATTCTAGTTCCTCGAAGAAAGGCAAAGGTCCTATTGATATTGGTAAATATTAATTATACGTGCTTTCATGGAACCTTTAATCTCAGGAAATGAGTACGCTTAACTGCGTTCAATGACTGGTCTTTGGCATTTACATATTTCTTCATCTATTTCCAAAAACTTTTTTACACTCATTAAATAACCCCCAGAAAATTTCCCCTTTGACCTAGAGCTGATAATTTCAGTTTTTTAAGGTGTAACTAGCAAGTTATGATGATGATTTAAATCACATACGCACACACAGTGTAACTTTCAGTTTTCAAATGACCATTAGTTCCTTCAATATAATTGCCCTAAAAGGTTCTACGTGTATTCTGATCCTTAAATCTTCCTTCAAATACTCTGGGATATCTTTGGAGCTAGTTCATGAGCCACTCAAGGAATTCAAACTCCTTTGTTCATAATTACACATTGCATAATGGGAAAATGGAGTGCCAGAGAGGTTTGACAAGGCAAAAGCTGGATTTAGAAGGAAAAACTAGAATCAAAGTCATCTAAGTCTCTAAATATGGTTGCACCATTAAACATGAAACAACATAAACATAAACATAAACATTAAACAACTAGTCCAGTAACAGGTCCACTGAGGGGGAGAAATGAGTTAAGTCAGCTGTTTCAGGTAGTTGGCCAGTTTGTCCACCAGGATCCTTAGCAAGCAAGTCAGTATTGGCATCTTTCTTCAACAAAAATAGAGATTAGGTGATTTGACCAAGATTACCCAACAGAGATAAAATTTTATTGACTATATTTCAAGGAATATTAAAATTACTTCACTAGATGGAATGTTAAATGGAATTGTGTTGGTTGAAATACAGCAAATACTTTAACATACACTCTGTGTTGTGGGTGCCGTGGTGTATCACCCATCTGCACCCTTCACAACTGACACACTCGTTCTCCTAGCTGCTGGGGGTGGGGCTGTGTCAGGAGATGATAGCTAATACCTCTCAGAGAATTGCCCTCAGCTGAGGAGAGCCACTTCTCACAAGGTCACATTCCCTCAGAAGTGTGTTGGAGCTGGCTGGTACTAGTTCAGAAGAGCCTGTGGTTAAATTTTCAGGGATTCTGTGCACCAGTCAGTGTCAGACTGGTAGCTTGAAATCGGGCATGGTGGGAGTGATTATGGAAATCTCTATGAAAATTGGCAAGCATTATAAATCAGGGCAATCTTCCCCCCGACGAGCCGGCTATTCAACAATCATTATCACATTGTACCCCTTTCTCAACATCGGCATGTACCCAATGACTGGTCAAGGACTGTGTCTTATTTATCTCTGTATCCCGGTACATCTTATGCACCCAATGAACATTGTTTAAATGAATGCCTGAAAAATCAGAGGTTGTACACTTGGGTATCTTTTGTGGGTTCCTTGAGATGTAAGGCATGGGCATATCTGGATTGTTAGTATGGAGGAACAAGTTGAAGTGATATTTACCTGGCAGATAAATTCTACCATACTTGTCCTTGATGTTTAGTGTCATTAATTATGCTCAAGACCTTCCTCTCGACCTTAATCTCTCCTTGTAATTTTTTTTCCATGGGCCCACACTAAGGATATCTTAGACAAAGAGTCAGAATTTTTATAACTGGAAAGACTCTTTGAGACCTACTCGTTCCTTTCATTCCCCTCATTATTTTACAGATGAGAAAACAAAGCTTTGGAAAGGGTATGATCTCAGTCTCCTCCATTTTTTACATGGCAAGATCTTGCCATTCAACATGACTGAAATAGAAAGCATAAATACTGAATTCAAACAACAGCATCTTCATTTAATAGATTGAGTGCTTTGTGAACAGGGATTTGTGGGTGCATCTGTTCTACATGATGATTTTATTAAATAGCTTTATTATCTCAAAATTACATTCATTAAAATGGGATTTTACCTGTAAGTTGTTGTCAGGCAAGGATTAGTGGACAGAAACCTTAAATCCTCGACAAGGCCTGGGTCAACGGGTGATCACTGAATAATACTAATTTGTAAGTTTCCATCCTGATTGTTAACAGTCAGCCACTCTATAGCCAAAAACAAGGATCAGGAGATACATCTTGCTGAGATCCCAGCTCACCATGATATGATACTACGCCCCCGCATTCTAGTGTTCTTTATCTTCATTTTAACCGTTCTGCAACATCCCCTATCACTGGGGGGGGGTGTGTGTATATATGTGTGTGTGTGTGTGTATGTGTGTGTGTGTATCACTATATATTTTAATCTATTTCATTTTAACAAATGCTGCGGGTGGGGGGGGGAGTACACAAGCCAGAGGAAAGGGGGCATGCTCTGTGATTTATCCCAAGTCTCACATTCCCCCAGGGTTCAACCATCTGACCACACTGTGAAAGAAGTACACCCGGACCCTCTTTCCGTCAGCTTTCTTCCACGCAGTCTATAAAATGGATGTATAAGAAGAAGGTGGGAGGCTCTGGAATCAGCCTGCTTCCCAGCTCCACCCCCCACTGTGATTGGGTGCAGACAGCCTTCAGAGCACAATTTAAGAACAGGGCACTGGGCAATGTGTGACTGTTTCTTCCAGCTAAGGACACCCCCCCTCTCCCACCACCCTGGACACACACATTTTTGGCTTTAAGTCCAGAGACCATCACTTACTTACCTGCCACCCATGTTGAACCCATACAAGTAGCTCAGCATGATGTCAGACACACATTATATTTAATGGCCATTCCACCTACACTAGGTCATGTTTTCTTATACCCAATATAACTGGTATTCCAAGTGCATTTATTGCTTTCACATCGCGGCCCAGCTTGAGATAAGTTTTTAATATTTCTCTACACCTTGCAACATATGTTTTCTTCAACTTTTTAAAAACTGCTATCCAGGTAAGACCTCTTAAATGTTGAAAGCTTAGATGCTGGATACTTCTACAGAAACTTCTTTGTGTGCTGGATCTCCAATAATTTTATCATTGCTGATATCAAACCCATTCATGACAGCAGGTTGTCTTTCACCATTTACCGTTATGTAGGCTTATCCATACCAAATCCTATACAAAATGCCCTATCAACACGAAGGCTCTTAGCCATGGTATTATCAATATCACTGTTGTTATGACTATAGGAAAATAAGGCCAACACTGGCTACATTGAGGCACTTAAAAGAATTTCATCAGTGGGCCCAACAATTAAGAAAGAAAAATGGAAGAACTGAATTATACAACCTACGTGGCACACATGGTTTCAAGTGAGTATGCTTTGGGGACATACCTCAAGTAGACAGGAGGCAATAGAGTGTAAGTCTTTCATCGGACCAGTGGTTCTCAAAGAGTGATCCCTGGACCAGCAGCATGGGCACCACTATGAACAGGTTAAAAATGCAAATTCTGGGGCCCTTCCCCAGCATTTCTTTCTCTTCCTGAACCAGAAACTCTGGAGAGGGAACCCCGAAATCTGTGTTTTAACAAGCCCTCCAGGGGATCCTGGTAAACACCAAGGTTTGAGAGGCACTGTTTTAGAGCAACCTGAATACATAGCTTGGCTTTCCCATTCACAAGCTGTGTGACATTTGGCAAGTTATTTAACCTCTTTTGGCCTCTGAAATCTTATCCATAAAGTGTGTTAAATAATAATTAACCTTATTACTTAAGGATGTTGCAAGAACTGAATGAGAAGGTCTGTACAAAACCCTTGCAAGGGGCCCCTGGGTGGCTCAGTGGGTTAAAGACTGCCTTCGGCTCAGGTCATGATCTCAGGGTCCTGGGATCAAGACCCGCATCGGGCTCTCTGCTCAGCAGGGAGCCTGCTTCCTCCTCTCTCTCTGCCTGTCTCTCTGCCTACTTGTGATCTCTGTCTGTCAAATAAATAAATAAAATCTTAAAAAAAACCCTTCCAAAATGAAATGACTAGCACACAATAAACCCTCAGGAAATATTAGCTATTACCAAAGTTGCAATTATTTCTTTGGTTTTTTTTTTAACGTACAGTAATCTTCAATAGATGGAAGAGGTTAGCTGGCAATAACATAGTAATAAGGTTTTCAATTTTGTACAAACAAGAGAAGACCATTCTGTGTCCTATTTTCTAAATATCCCATTGTAATGAAGAAGACCTGATTTGAAAGAATTTAAAGGCATCCCCAATGGTTCAACAACCTGGTTAGTCCAAATGGAAAGGATTTCACAATGAGCCAAGCATTGATAGGAAAAAGGTGAGGAGAGGAGGGTTTGAAATAGCCATTTGAAAAGTTCTCCAAAGAGCTTTTCAGTGGGGCCTTCTGCTAGCCTCTGTGAGAACTGGCAACAAAACAAAACAGAACAACAACAACAACAACAACAAATACCTCCTGGGTAATTGCAATCCAACAGGTGTTCTGCCTAGTGAATGGATGTTCTTTTACGCCATGGGATCAAAACTTCTACAAGGGCTCATGGTTTAAATAGAGAATGAATTGGATTCATTCTCCTGCCCACTCAGCTAGATCCCCTGGTGCAGGACACAACCTCCCATAAGTAGGCACAGCAGCCCTGACTGTAAATTGCGGCCCTTTGTCTTCGATTCCTATCTTCCCTATCTGACTTGGTCAGAAACAAAGATTATTGGTAATTGCTTCTGAAGCTTCAAGGAAATGAGCCGAGCATCTGGGAGAGGCCGAATCCCCCCTTCTCTGGGATTTCATTCACCATATTGTTTGTTGTGAATAAGACCTATACCTACCTACTTGTGATGTGAGACTCACAGGTGTTGTAAAACTTGAAAGGAAATACCTTTCTTCCGGGTAATCCTGAGGATTAAATGAGATTAAGTATATGCAAATACCTTGTAAACTGTAGAGAGCTGTTCACATATAAAGTGGTATTATGGTTACGTTCATTGTCTCTAAAGGCAGCATCTAATAACCCCCTGCTGTTTCCCCTCCAAAGAGCCCATGGCCATTATTATTGTTATTATCATCTTTACTGTTAAATGTTAGCACTGTCTCAGTATTGTGTAAGCACCATTTAGACCCCTTTCTGAGAAAGATGGTTCTTCTGACTCCAGCCAGGTGACAGTGATATTTTTAATTGGAAACCTAAATTTACAGAAATGAGAAGCCACACACCAGTCCGCAGTAGACTCCCTTTCTCTTCCCTGCCTCCCTGCCACTGTTCCTCACTACCACCACCATGTGGGGCTGGAATCACTGTTACTGTGAGCAGATTGGACCAAACCCATCTTTTTCCCATTTTTATTACTGCCCGATATTGCTGGGCCTCTCCAAAGGACAGGATCCATTTCCACCGTATTTTGTACATCACAAAATGTCCTTCTGTGAAGGTTCGGGTGGGGACCCACTGTGTAAGGAAGAGCCTCATATCCAGCGGAATAGGGAAGGCAAGGCTCAGAGGAGCTCCCACCGAAAGCTTAGTGCCTTTTCCATCAAGATAGATAACAGCTAGGAATACTTCAGCAGTTTCGGTCCCACCAGATAAGAGGGACTAGAAAAATGAGCCAGAGATTTGATCTAGTATATGCTGTGCTTTGTTTGTTGTAACCTTTCTCATGGCCCTGTTGCTCCAGTCCATAGTCATTGACTCAGTTTCTCAGCGGATCTCTCACTTTCTGATGGGACCAGAAATGGGCCCTGTACCCCAGGCTGCTTGGTTCAAGTCCTGGTAGTCTATTTATGTTCATAATCCGGATCCTACTTCTCATGCTTCTACTGGCTGGGGCACAGCTCTCACCTGACAACAAGCCTATCTTACTTTGACTCACTCCCCTTCCGTGACTTCTAGCATCACACCCCACTCACCGCTTTGTCGCGCCCTCAGATGCCACCAAATGGCTGTACCAAATGTGAGTTCTACACACCTTTGGATACTCCATACTGTCAGAGGTCATACCCAGGCCGCAGCCCAACTGATAGCTCAGTTTCCCTGCTCCCCACCCCTACCCACATTCTGATTCCTGTCACAGAGTTCCGGACCTGCCCCATCTGAGTCTGTGTTTTGTCCAAAACAAGAAGCAAAATCCTGCAGGGCCGAGCTTGGTCTTTGCTGCCTTTTCTCTCCCTTCCTGAGTCTCTACTTCACTTCCCGTTGCTGTCCTCCATACCCAGGGTCGGCCTCTACTCCATAACCACAGAATTTCCTCTCTAGGCGTCCCCCTCCCCAATCTTAAAACTTCCATTCCTGTAACAGGCTGCTGTATACTGTTATGAAGAAAAAAGTCTGATTAAACAATGTTATATTAAAGTAATATTATATTAAACAACGTTATATTAAAGTCAACTTAAAGTAAGGAACATTTATTTGCATTTTCATTAACTTAAAGCAGTGGTTCTTTTTTTTTTTTTAGATTTTATTTATTCATTCGAGAGAGAGGGAAAGCAAGAGAGATCACAGAGGGAAAGGTTGCGGACTCAAGGCTGAGCGGAGAGCCAGATGTGGGGCTTAATCCCGGGACCCTGAGATTATGACCAGAGCCGAAGGCAAACACCTAACCGACTGAGCCACCCAGGTGCCCCAAAAGCAGTGGTTCTTAACCCTGGCTACATTTTACATGCACCTGGGAGGATACTGAAAATACCTCTGCTTCGGCCTCATTGGAGACCACCAAAACCTCTGGATGTAGCGTTCTGGCACCAGTTGTTTAGAAAAGATGTCCAGGTAATTCTAGTGTGTAGAGTGAGAACCATCGACCTACAGGAATGAATCTCAAAGAGTAGGGCCATAATATGTACATTTGCTATCTCTCTGCCTCAAAGGACGTGTGGGTGGTGAGCACTCAATCCTAACTTCTCTCAGCCCAAAGAGTTTCAGGGCCTGGATTTATTTAACATTTCATGGTAGAGGCCAAATTGTCATTTCAAAGAGTATACTATTTAGAATGGGTGGGATGCGAATCCCTCATGGAATGTAAGCTTGCAGGAGACACTGGACTTCGTGAAGATTTGTAACATATTCTAAAGTTATACTAAATCTGTGAGCCTGTTTCTGGCATGACTCCTCCCTGGAAATGGTTTTATATCTCTCAAAATAATTCTGTGCTCTGCTTTGAAAGTATCAATCTCTATTATGAAGTAATCAAAGCCACACTGATTGCTTAACATTAAAGGATCTTGTAGACTGGAGCTGGAAGCAGACAACTGTAGTTCCAGGAACTAAAACTTCTTGCCCTCATCTTCCCATAATGATCGTAATGAAGGTCCAAATACTGGTGACACTTGAAACTTATAATGGGCTTCTGTTTATCGGCCAGGCTAACCCTGACCATTCTCTAACAAACCCATTGTTATCTTAAGGAAATGACTGGGACCAGGACTAATCCTAGCAGTCATCAATTTGACAAGTAGTTTCTGAGCCCTCCGTTCATTCTCAAGCAATGGAGTGGCTTGCAATAGTGAAATGAGCCGTGTTCCCACAAATCACTGACACTTTCCAGGAAAAAAAATCTAGTTCTAAAAAAACTGGAATAGAAAATATCGAAAGCAAGTGCCACAAGGGCCTGCAATAAAAGTAAGTAAGAGACACTGGATTCCAGAGGACCAGGAACGGCTCTTCTTCCCCCAAACCACCTCAGCTAGGTCTGGTGACAGTAGCTTTGCTGGGGTCTGCCCTTTACTTCAGGTTTTGTCCATGGTCTCTGCAAGAATCACCTTCAACATCAACCTTCTCTTGGAAGGGGAAAGGTTAAAATCTGGGCTGACTCCTCATTTTAATATACTTTTATTTATCAGCTAGGTCCCTGGGAATGGCACATGAAAAGATAAGCCCTGTTTTGGGGGGGCAAGGGAGGTGAGTGCAGAGGACAGAAGGGAAGTGTATATTGTGGAGTCCAGAGAAGACAGGTTCCAAGTGAAAGGTGATGAAGCAGGTGGCAAGAATGGGCCAAAACAGAGCCAGAAAAACACCCTTCTTTGGCTGATCTCAAACTACTGGGGTCCTACAGGTGTGGAAGGTGTGTGGCTCCCGTTGTTCTTGATGCTGAGAGTAGGCACTGGGACCCAATGGCATTTATAACCACTTTGTACCTTTATTTCGTTCATCAAACAGGCTCCCTTGAAGCTGAACAGTCTTGGAGCCTGAGTGTGAGTGCAAGAGGGCGGATGCCTGATGTGCTCTCCTAGGGTGCGAGGGTAAGAAACCTTTTGGAAATTGTCCTATTCCCAGCAACCCCCCACCCCTTCCCCGGAAGCCACGTTTAAACCTCAGCGGGGAGAAAGCGCTCACTGAGAATTCTGTCAGCCTGGCGAATCGATTCGCAGGAGCGCTGTCCGAATGCTGCGGCTGTCTTGTCCTGAGCTCAGGACGACCCCTACCGGTAGGCCCCGGCTCTGCAGAGCGCTTGGTATTTGATTGGCGGTGTGCACCCAATGTCTTCATCTAGGAGATGACTCCGGCGTGAGCCCACTGGAAGTATCTCATGACAGTTACCAGCACCCGGCCCGGAGAAGGGAGTGTCCGAGAAAAGGTCGGGTGGCTGATTTTATTGTCTAATTCGTAATTCACACAAGCCCAAGAGAAAAGCCCTTTGTTCCAACTGTTTCCCAGGAGCGAGGCGGCCTCGCAGTTGCCGGGGTTGACAGGGCCAGTGAATCCCGAGGCCATCTGGTGGTGAACAATGAAACCGCAAAGGGCCCTGGCGGTCTGGCAGTCTTCATTGAGAATCACGTATTCAAAAGAGCAACCCGCGTCAAACGATGGGTCCCTGTTGAAGCGCTCAATGGCTAAGCCAGCAGCAACCTCAGGCAGAGCCTTTGAGAACAATGGGTCGCAAGTCCAAGGGCCCACTACCCCTATCTTGTAAAGGGGCGCCCACACCCACTGTGGGATGCACGGGAGGGCCAGGAGGCACGAGCACCATAGGAGCTTGAAGGCTGCAAGGCCATGGTGTTTTTGCTGTCTTCTGGGAGCCGCACACCAGAGCATAAGGTGAGAAGAAGGCCATGGTGCCCAAAACATAGCCCTCCTGCTTCCAGCAAACTAGTGAGGAAATGTCTGAAGGTTAGTCTGCTTTCCTGAGACGGACCGTTGTGTTTCCAAATGCCTGTCAATAGGAGGGAGAAATTCATTACTTGCCTTATTCCTGAAGCTTCTGGAAAGACTGATTATAAAAGAATGGCAGTTCCCAAACCACCTTGACCAAAAACGCCTCTCCTTCGCGCACTTCTGTACTCCTTGTCTCAATAGATGGCACCTCCACCCACCGTTTGGCCCCTTGCTCCAGGCAGAAACCTGCTAGTCAGCTGATGCTCTTCCTTCATCTCTGCCCCCACATTCAATCTATTACCGAATCCTGTTCAACGTTGGCAACAGCTACCCACTTCACAACGTTGTGAGGATTATGTGGATAAACATACAGCAAGCATATGTTGTTAGCATTATATTAGTGATATTATTATCATTATCACTTCTACAGTTTAAAATGTGCTCATTTATCTCCACCCTAATGCCTTTTGGAGAGAGACACAGATATAAACCCATAATGGCAATGCAGAATTTAAAAAATTGTATGATTTTATGTAGATCAGCAGAGGAAAATAGAGAGGATCACCCAAACTCTGATTTCAGGGGGAGGTGAGGAGAGAGAAGAGACAGTCCCTCCAACTTGAGTACTGAAAGAAAGGTTAGCCAGGTTAATGGGGTTATGAGGGTGATGGTACTAAGCACCTTCCAGGCAGAAGGAACAGCATATAGTAAGACACAAAGGTTTTTTTTTTTAAGAAAATTTTTTGTTTTTTTAAAGATTCTATTTATTTAATTGAGAGAGAAACAGAAAGGACACGAGTGGGGACAAGGGCAGAGGGAGAAGGACAAGCAGATACCCCAGTGAGCAGGGAGCTGGTCTCAGAGCTCGATCCCAGGACCCTGAGATCATGACTTGAGCCAAAGTCAGACACAACCAACTGAGCCACCCAGACCAGGCACCCCTAAAAATTATTTTTAAAGAAGAGGATATGTTAGATACTCAGAATTCCAATGCATTTGTTTTGTTCAAATCTATGATGGCAGCTAAGGCAAGGGCCAGGTCACCAAGAGTCTTATATGCCATTCACAGGTTTTTAGATTTAATCCTGTAAACAATAATTTTAGGCAGAGAAATGGCATAATCAGATTTCCATTTTTAGAAGATTGTTCAAATAGCAGTGTGATGAACAGGCTGGAAAGGGGTTAAGACTGGGGACTTCCAGGTTCAAAGCTGTTGTATTAATTCCATATTGGAAATGATGACAGACCAAGAGAGGGGTCATGAAGATATAGAAGAATGGAGAGGAATTCCACAAAGATTAGAAAATATCAAAGAGATTAAGAAAGTAGAACCGACAACAGCTTGGTGACTGACAGGATGGAGAAGGCAGGGAGAAAAAGGACCCCCAGATGATTCTGAGCTTTTCAGACCTAGGCAACTGGTTGGAAAATGATACAAGTCTTTGAGATAGGGAACACTGGAGGAAGGTGGTGAAAATATAATGCATTCCATTAGACATGGTGAACTCATAAAGCCTGTAGAACATACAAGTGGCAATACTCAGGACAATTTGACACACTGGATCTCATCATAGAAAGCTGAGCCAGAGAGAGAAATATGAGTGTGATCAATTGATAGAGAATAATTAAATACATGTGGAAGATTGACAAAAGAGAGTTGTGAGGTAAAGAACAGAATACAGCCCTGAGAATTCATGTCACTTAAAGGTCAGGCAGAGAGGAAAGAGGTCATAATGAAAACTTAAATGGCAAGGCCAGGGAATCAGCAAAATCCAAGAGACAGGGTGGTATCTTACAATCCAAGGGAGCTGAAGCTTGGGGGATAAAAAATGTTTATCCCATCTCACACTCCCGTGAGAAGTCAAGCAAGCTAAAGATAGAAAAGGAGCTGCCCATTGGATTTGGATTCAGAGTAAGGCTGCCAGTTAAGGGGACCACAGTGAGTCAAAAATGAATGGGAATTAGTGAAGTGGAGTCACCCTTTCAAGGTGATACATGCAAAGGGTTTCTCCGTCTAGCCCTTGCCTTTATACCCTCATCTCCCGCTGTTTTCACTTGATGCTGCAGTAAATTTCCTGCAGACATTCATCACTTAGCCTATCGGGCATAGGATTTGTAAAATGCCATTCCTTATGTCTGAAATTCCCCTCCCTTCCTGCCTTTCACATTCTACTCCTGGGTTCTGATGAACTTTACCTTTAAGATCCACTTGAAGTGTTCCCTCCTCTGTGCAGCCCTAGTTAACACCTTCAGACTGAGTTCATTGTTTTTTCCATCTGTGCCTCATACCCATTAAGGAAGATGTCACTGTGATTTATAAATTGCCCCTACTTCTGGTCTACATTTTGGCATGGATACCATTGGATATCTCTACATTTATGGGACCTCATACTTCCAACCACAAACAATGAGCAATAATGAAGGAAACTCCCTATGGGGAACAGAGCCCACTGGATTGGGAACTTCTAAAGGTCTTCTTCATGGTCCTCATGCCTAGTCAAGTTCCCAGCATAGTAGCTATCAAATAAATATTTGTGAAATGAATTCATAAAACATTAAGGATGATCCAAGGTCGGTAATAACCTCACCAGGCATAAGTAGAATGAATTGCTTGGTGGGGGGGAAGTATTAATGAGGGAAATCCTTAGTGAATTTTTAATTCCATCCAAAGATCAAAATAATGGCATGGCTCTTTTCAGGGCTGATAATTAGTGCTGGTGTGTACCAGTCAAGCTCAACTGGTGGTTCATTACCAGCAACAATTCTGCCTATGCCAGTCTTGTTGGTTATTATCTTGAGTCTCATTCCTAATTTTATGGGAAAGTCTGACTCCTCAAGAGACCAGCCAGGGGCACACATTCAGGATCTTAAAGACCTACCACAATAGTATACCTCAACATTTGTAAACAGGCGAAATTGGGTTAAAATGAGGGTCAAGAAGTACTTAGGGAGGAGATGTTTCAAAACAGCATGAGCCAGAAGCTGAAGGGTATATATGATGGAGAATGAAAACTTCCAACTTTACTTTGGAGGAAGTAAAAAGGTGGTTCTGGACTGATTATATCCATAAGTTCCTCAAATCTATTTGCAGACCTTCAGAGTAATCTAACCCCAATCTCCATTCCCCCAAATAGATTTATTCTGTTTGCTGACCGTGTTGAAGGCATGAGGGTGAGATTCACAGTGGATGAGTTATGAGATGTAGACTTCGCCTTCAAAAAGCTCCCAGCCCAACACTACAAGCTGAGCTCTAAGGAGCTCACATGCTTCTCTTCCCACTCTCCCCCAACCCCACTCTTTTATCTGTCATGGCAAAATTTGGGAGCAAGGGTACTCTCTGGGTAGCTTGGAAGAGGTTCCTATATTTGGTCTTTATTGTGATGAGGTTATTGAACTAGATGATATCTCTGTCCTTAGAGGACCTTGCTCTTTCAACCACTAGGAGTAGATAATAGAGAGGGTAACTCTATATGGGGAAGAGTCCTGTCCACAAGCAACAGGGAAAAGTGGCCAACCAACTGCCTCTTCTCCCACAAACACACCCAGTTTTGTGAGTTCTCTCCCATAAGTACTATATTTAAGCCAGAAACTAGCATTCAGTTAACAAAGACAAATATTTATTGAGTTCTTGCTATGACTCAAACACTGGGCTAAACTCATGTGTTATCTTCTCGTCAAAACTCAGTCAGACAGAAAAAATTCACCATAGTCTTTGAGGCAGGTATTATTGTGACCTACACTTACAGATGATGAAACAGAGGCTCAGAAAGGACAAGGAACTTGCCTGAGGGCACACTGTGGTAGAATGGGGATTTGTACCCCAGTTGATTAAGCAGTAAAACAGATAGACTGTTGACTGCCCCTAATCTGTGAAGTTACAGAGACCATTATTATACCTTCTTTGCTACACACATCAAGTTTGACTAATTCACTTGTGGTTTTAAAAATTCCCTTAGTCCCCCCATGAAAGAACAAATTACAGAATGAGGGGTTGGGGGAAGAGTAAACTGGGAGGAGCAAACACATTCATTATCCAACCAGAAGGAATTTGCCTCTACTGTTGAAGCCCAGTCGTGGAACAGCTCTTTTTACTGGGCTTGGGAGGTACCAGTCACACTGTATTCTATATAGAGCTAATCCTAGTCTTTGAGAATGGAAATTTTGGGAGTGCAGATGTGGAATGTTAGTTCTGATTCTCAATTTCCTCACCAGTGAATTGGAGGTAAATTTAATTTAATGATTTTGAAGTGAGGGATTAAATAAGATAGAATGCTGAGCACACACTTTTCTTTAAATAAATACTAGTTCTTCCTTGCTGTTTAAAAAGAGGACTCCATGCGGAATCAGGAGGCCTGAGTCCTGAACCCAGTTCTGCCGCTGACTTGCCACGTGACATTGAAGTTTTCATTCCTCCTCTCTATCTCTCTCGTTTTTTTCCCCTCAGCTGGACTAGAGGATCTGCAAGTCCCTTTCCTCTCTCATATGCATTGATCCTGGGATTCTGTACATCTTTCAGGCAGTGACTTTATTAAACCTCTGCTCCTGTTAAACTGCTTTCCGAATTCATTCAACATTCTCTAGCCTTTGCTGTTCTAATTAGTTTTTCACTAGTGTTGTATTTCTGCAAGTGGTTTGTACTTACTTCTATCTGGCAGATCCAGTTCCTGATTGTTTTAAAATATTGGTCTAGAATCCTCTATCAAACACCTACAGTGTGAAGTGTGACCCCCACCCCCCCATACAATCAGATCAAATGCTGGAGTTATGCTACATGGAAAAAGTCTGGGTTCCTAAAACCACTCATTATCTTATCTTCATTGTTAAGACGTATCCTTTGAGATCCTGGTTTGTGCTATCCCTGAAACTACAAAAGTGGGGAAATACAAGGCCTGAAATTTCACCAAGAAATGCAACTGGGTACACCAGAAGTAAGAGGACAATAATGTCTACCAACAGAGTTCACATGCAAGGTA